TTTATTAATAAAATTTTTAATAATTTTAATTTTTCTCTAATTGCAGGTTCTCTCTAAATGCAGGTCAAAGTACTGGTCCCGACAACATGCATTAGAGGAAGTCAACTGTATATTTATTTAAACTTTAATAATTTGCACTATAGTATTATTTAATATTTAAAATTTGAGTTAGCTTTTAAGCCTCTACTATTATTTACTTTTGCTTTTTAAAGTTTGCTATTTAAACTTTAATATCTACTTTTTATTTTTTTTTGTAAACTATATTTTTAATTTTATTAAATTTTTAATTTAGTTAATCTAGTAAAGTTAATTTATCTAGGATTTAAATACATTTTAGTTTTTTTTTTTCTTAGTATATGCTTCTAGAGAATACAATTTTTTTAAAATATAACTATAGTAACTAGATTGATAAATTTTCTTTTTAAAAATTTTTTGTTGTTTAATTTTACTAATTTTTAGTTTACTCTAATTCTGTTTTGTAACACTGTTTAGGTTTTGTCAAGCCAATTTTTTGGTTTTTTATTAATTTTATATAATTTCAAAAGTCTTACAATTCAAGTATTATATAAATACTTCTAAATCTTTTAGTATATAAACTATATTAGTATAACTAATAAGTAATAGAATCTGATTAATTAATAAAGTATTTTTGTTTAAAATATCTTTAGTAAAATTTGAAATCTGTATTTTTGTTACAAGTTGCTTGGAAGTATAACAACTTTACTACTATATTAAGTTATCACATTCTTAGATTTTAATTAATAATTATTATCTCTATTATCGTGGTTTTTGGAATGGTTGAAATAGCAAATAAAATTTTTTTTTGACGAACACTTGAACACTCAAACACTAACCTGCATAACTATTGTTTAATAAACTTTAAACAATTACAAAATCGGGATCGATCTTCAATCAACGTGCTGAGTGTTCGAGTGTTTGTCAAAAAAAAATTTATTTGCTATTTCAACCATTTTGAAAACCACGATAATCAAATACAATAAAGATTTTAATTAATTACTATGCTATGAAATCAGGAACTAATAAAAGTCCGAATGATCTAACGTTTAACAATATAATTGGTACACAGACCGCATATCATTCATGGGACTGAAATTATCAATTTTCATTGGTTTTTCCGCCGGATGTGCATTCACATTTGCTTGTACATAAAGAGTCCTCGCTTCGCTTCGGACAATAATATCACATACTAGTGTAGTTATAAAAAATTGTCTTGTCTATTATATAATTAACCATCATGGTACACTATACATTGTAATAGCTTGTTTTTCTATATAATATTAATAAAAAATAAAATAAAATAAAATAAAATAAATAATTACAAATAACTTTTTTTTTTATTTCTTAAATTTTAAAGTTTTTGCTAAAATATAAAGTATAGTAATGTTCTACAGAAACAAACTGAAGACCCAGAACAGATCTGAAACTAACCCCGCCTCAAATCTGGAACCGTTATTTTTTAAAAAATTGGTTCTAGGTCTTTAGTCAGACTTGAACTGAAATTAATAATGCACATTGATTGGCTGTATTTTGGGTCTTTCAGGTTGATTCTAAGTTTTTTTTCAGTTTCAGGTCTCTATTTGGACATAACCTGATTTTTCAGTTCAGGACCGAGTTCTTAAAGAACCCGCCCGAAACCAGAACACTAAAGTATAGTTTTTGTATTTTATAGGGTTACTAAAAATAAACAAACTAAAACAAATAAAACTTCAAACCCTTCTAAATACAACAACACCTTTCTAAATACACGATAGAGGGCAGCTTCACAATAGAACTTATAGATAAATACACATTCTTTATTTTGTAAGTGCATGCTAATTGTCTTTATTTATAAAACTTCTTTCATAAATGTATCTACGTGATTACTAACCAATCAAATTTATTATTTCTAGGCACTAAAGTTATACTTATCACATAATAATAGTTACATTATGATTTTATTTGTGCTAAATGCATGCTCTAAAGCTAGTCCCGATGATTAGTGACTGGACTCGTATAAACTCATGACTCGCGAATTAAACCAATAAGAGTGCTCGAATCATTCGATTGAATTACTTAGTCGAGTTTTGTTCGAGTAATTCGAGTCATGGCAAGTTACAAAAACAAATTACTTCAAATAGCGAGTTATATGAAGCAAATAATTCAATTTTGTATGTTATAAAAACAAGTATAATTCAATTTATGTGTTATAAAGCAAAAATATCAATTACAAGTTACGAATGCAATAAACTGATTCATAATTATATCACTAGGTCAACTAAAACTCTTTAAATATTCTGTGCTTAGGGGGCGAGGTGGTTAATTTAATTTGAAGTCCATCATTATATGAGACCATTTTCTTCCCGTCATCCATTTTTTTGTACCCTCCTTTCGAAAATTTTCCAAGACGAAACTTGGAGTAGATCTACTTTTATACATATAGGTAGTTGTGTTTTGACATTATCTTTATTCCAAGTTTCCTCCCGTTCATTAGTGATTTTGTTTTGCTCTATGCTTATATTATGATATTGTTTTGCTCTATGTTTATATTATTTTAAGTCTTTTAAAACATCTTTATTTTTATTAATAAAAATTTGCGACTGCAATAAATTATGTACGTAGTTTTTGCAGCTTACAAATTTATTAATGTGTAACTATTGAGATATCATCACTCAAAAGTTCAAAAAAAATTTTGGCGATTATCAAAACAAAGACCGCGGCCAAGTTTTTCCAAACTTCAAGCGATGATATCTCAATAACTACCTATCTAAATTCGATGAAATTTTTTTTTTATTAATTTTATTGTTCATATAGTTAACAAGAAAAAAAAAACAAGAAAATTAAAAATATAAAGAAAATTTTCAAGTAATAATAATATATATCTTTAAGATAATTATTTTGGGTTTAAAGATTTTTTTTTCAAGTTATTAAATTTTATTTATACTATAAATAATATTATGATATTTTTATTTCAAAAATAAAATTAAATTTCAATTCTAATAAAAATATTTACTTGCTATTTTTTTTTAATTTCATTCATAATATTATTATTTTTATTATTTTTATCTTCTATTTTATTTAGATAAAAATAATATCATTATCTTCTCGGTTATTTTGAAAACTATTTTTATTTGGTAATTAAAAACCTCGGTTTGATTATTAGAGATTTTATTTCATATTTTATTATTCATACAGTAATTTCTCAAATAAGTGAAAGGAATTGCGAAGATATATTGATTAAAATCTTCGATAGGGCTTTTAATTTTAGTCAAATTATCAACAAGGCAAATGGTTCTTTGAGTTATTTTGGTTTAGTGTGATAGATCGGGTTCTTTTCTATTCATATAGAATTGTTTTAATCCATGAAGAGCTATTGTTTTCAGAGGTTTAGTGCACAGAGGAATCAGTCAATTTAGAAATGTAAATTTTATTCGACATATGTGTAAGCAAAATTAATAAAAACGATATTTGAATCTGCGTTGTGCATTAATATTAAGATGAAAAGTGAAATTTTATTTAACTAATTTTTTCATTATAAATCCTAACTTAATGATAATGATTAGAAGATTGGAAAAACTAAAAGCTTTTAATTTGTTGGGAAGTTTCTAATGCATATAGTAAAACTCTCTCCTCTATATTATAACACGTGTATGCAGAATAATTCACTATATGAGTGCTGTCAAGGGAAAAAGGCCGATCGGACTTTTAATATATTTTGTGTACAGTTAGCCGTCTATGGAAAATTTATCATTATAATAAATTATTCATAGACGGTTAACTGTACACAAAATATATTGAAAATTCGATCGGCCTTTTTCCCTTGGCAGCACTCACATGTCCAACGCATAGAACACGTAAAATTGACGATACCTTAAATTGAAATGTAGACTATATATATTTATGCCACAACAAACGACAAATATCCTTTCAAAAATTTTTGGTGTGGTATGCAACCTTTTTAAATATCTTCTAAATATTTTCCAACCGTTTAATTTACATGTGAAAAGAAGGAAAAAATTTAGATAACAGAAAATATTTGGAAAGTTTCTGTGTGTGTGTGTGTGTGTGTGTGTGTGTGTGTGTGTGTGCGCACACACACACACAGCTTAACACACCAAAACTTTTGAAAGAATTCTTGTAAAAAAAGTTTATTGTTTTACCTGTGATAAAAGAGAATACACATGCCGAATTCGTTCTATACAGAAAAAATCTGCAAGGAATGATTGTATATGTGTATATAAACTTTTTTTGCACAAACAACAGTATCAGAACTTATCTGCACATGTGATAATTGACCAATGATTCGATTATGATCAGGAATAATATAAAAAATTTAAAATTGGTTATAACTCGAAATTTTACATAATAAACCGACTTTTACGCTCTAACAAAAATTTTTCCTTGCAAAATTTTACTATATAGCGGCAATTCTTTCATAATAATCTTAAACTTGCCGTAAATTTAACTAACAAAAAGAAATGAGTTAATTATCCCGTGTGCGGACAAATTCCCCTACACGCAGTGTCTTTCCGCACAAACAAGTTTTTTGTGATTCCATAAAACCAAAAATGGCCACAATAACATTTTGATAGTAAACATTATAAATAGTGATAGAAGAATACCTTTGATAATTCTATTTCACGATTACTCTTAAAAAAAAAATGGAACAAGTACAAGTTCCAGACTCGAAATTCTTTAAAGGCGCTCTTCTTGACTCTTTTCAAAAACTGGGGTATGTATCATCCAATTCAACACCAGAACCAGAAACTACCATTGCGCTAGTGACTACTGCACCAGAAAATACCGCTGCATCAGAAACTACCGCTGCACCAGAAAATACCTCTGCATCAGAAACTACCGCTGCACCAGAAAATACCGCTGCATCAGAAACTACCGCTGCACCAACATTACCATCAGCACCAGCACCATCGCCATCAGCACCGGCACCAGCACCATCACCACCTAAAAACTTTCTAGGAAAAGCAAAAAGTTTATTTCCAACCTTTCTAGAAAATACAAAAGGTTTATTTGCAGAACCTCGAACCTTTCTAGAAAAAACAAAAAATTTTATTGTAGACAACAAAAATATTTTAGCTATCGGAGCATTTACTATTGGTGGTCTTGTACTTACTCCAATAGCAGTAGTTGGTATTATACAGGCGATTGGATTTGGTTCAGGTGGCATCGCAGCCGGATCATTTGCAGCATGGCTGATGTCGTTGCAAGGTGGTGCAACTGCTGCAGGTAGCCTTGTAGCTATTCTACAATCAATTGGTGCGGCAGGACTAACTGCAGGAGCAACTGTCGGATCGGGAGCAGCGGGTGCCTCAGTTATGGGCGCTTTGGGAAAATTGTTTATGGAAAAATTGGATGCTAATCCAGAGGGACAAGCTCAATTAGAAGAATACGTTAAGATCTATGACGGAGATAATAACGAAAGCAGTGAAGAAGGTTCATCTAGTGTGGTTTTTGAAATACGTGACAAACTCCTTATTGATGATAAGGCATTTGACAACTTTCTTGAAATATTCACTTTAACTTGTAAAACCTCAAAGCAACTAGACAATAAGACAAAAAAACAGTTCAACTTTCTTGTGGGTATAGAAAAATTAGATAAGTTGAATGATCATTTAGAAAATGAATTTGGACCAGAGAATGTTAGCAAAGTACAGCCAAATACTATTGTGTTGAATTTCTAATAATCTTTAAGAAATATTTGAGTCTTTTAATCCTTACTAAATTCATAAGCTTATTTTTTATTACCATATTTTATTTTTATCTTAACCGTGCTACATATTCATATTTATCTTTGGCCATTTTATTACAAAAATTGTTACTATGAATTTGACATGTAACTTCGATTTCGTTCGTAGTAAAAAATTGATTTGTAATTTGAATATTGTTTTATTATTGTATTAAGGCTATATTTAAAAGGGTATATAAGTTAAAGAACCGAATTATATATAAAGATCCAATTCAAATCTCAATAACTTACTTTCAATGGGATTTCAGAACCTTCTGATGAAATTTTATAATAATAAATGCTCCAGACTTGCGATTTTTTTCAATTGCAATAATACAGTTTAATAAGGTATTAAAAGTCTCAATTATGAACTTAATAGAATAGTTTCGAACAAAGTAATCTTTTGATAGCAATAGAATTATAATATTTGATTCACACACATTCACATTTTTCTATATCGATAGATACACAGTTCATGAAAGAAAATATAAAGTACAGCCGCGAAGTAACGTTTGTGAACGGTATTTCAAAATTCTATCATACATAATTACAGTATCTGATTCAAATAACGCCCATACGCGTCCTGAAATATAGTAACGTGCACGTGCAACTTTTAACAGATTTGATCTACGTAACTTACGTGTAGCACATCGAGTTCAATATTGATATTTATCTCTTAAATGAATTTGTATGGTCTTAAAATCTTCTATTCAAATTATCTAAGTAAATACATATTTATATATTCGAGTATTTGCTGAATGACTAATACCGTAAATAAACACAGCACCCTCCACCTACTTTTTTTCAAATTCAGATTAGTGGCCGTTAATCTGAAATTGAAAAAAGTAGGGTAGAGGTTACTGTGCTTATTTTCCTTACCTTACGGTATTCAGTAAATACAAGTAATTTTTTTCTCGAAGATAATTATATAAGTATATATATGTTGTGCCTCAGACTAACGCTTGCCTCGGATCACAGCTGACACACCTCAGGTGTAGATTGTTAGATGAGGTGCGTAACTTATCGATCAGTCATTACTCACAGAAAAAAAATATGCATAGAATAAAATGTATTATTGAAGTTGAACGTACCGAGAAGACTTAAACAGGAAGAGTATGCAGAGAAAATTTAGGAAAAAAAAAACAACCATACGTATAGAAAAAAAAGTGCATATTAAATGGAAATAGAATGTGCCACGAAAATTCGGGAAAATAAATTTAAAGAAAAGAATAGAGGTGCTGGATGCTACCAATAAGAAAAACGCCGAAGAGATTCAAGAAAGCAAGAATAAAAAAAGCGTCCAAGTCAAAAGCCTTTTATTCAATTTATTTTACTCTCTTACTTTTGTCAGATTGCAGTTTAGATGATAGCGATAGATCAATACGTAGTTTACGCACTGACGATCTGAATCGGATGTGCGTCGGCTGTGATCTGAGGCAAGCGTTAGTCAGAGGCACAACATATATATTTTATTGAAAAAATTCGGTATAAAAAAAGAAAAAATTATTGTGTTTGAGGCAAAAAAATTTTAAAATCTAATTCGTTTTATACAATTAACAGTGTCACATTTTACCAAGTTTTAAAAAACGCGTGTGACAGATTATAATTCGTTAAGCAATTACAAATATGAGATATTAAAGCAAGTAGTCGATAGTACGCTGTGAGTGAATATTCGTGTACTGTACTCACTTCTCTTAAAGATTTGACATGGTAAGTCGGATTATCAGAATGATCAAAACTCCATCTTCTTTACATATCTAAACCACATGAAAAATTCCGTAATTAACAGGCTAGCATCGATCACCACAATTCTTTATATAAACTTTACACGCATAAATACTCCAAATTGGCCTTTTAAAGGATAAAATATGCATGTACATGACGATCTTAGCACAATATCGTAGCATATATACACTCAAATCATATATAAAGCGTCAAGTTTGGTAATTACGCGAAATTTATATTACGCCACTAAAAATATTCGAAACTTTCATTTTATTTTTTTCCAGAAGAAATTTAACCAAATATAATGTGTATATGCATGTATATGTTGTCTCAAGATTTTTTTTTGCTCGTTGAAGATGTTTGATAATGCACATTTAAATGACAACATCGAACTATGTTCAACAAATTGATATGGTAGGTTATTAATCTGGTTAATTTCTTCGAATACATAACATCCGAAATGATAAATGAAACCTCAGTCTTTGAATCCTTTATATTCAAGGTTATCTTAACGCCTTACAATCATATAATGAGAATCAAGTATCAGGTAAGCCGATCAATCTTTATTTTAGATGCATGCCTTAGTACGCAATTAATATTCTATTATCATAAAGTAGCGTCAAAACCATTGTCTTTTCGGAAAAAAAGACCGAGTGATGGACTATACTTTTGTATTATTCTGATTAAGTGAGAGAATAAGATGACTACACTTGTCAATATAAGTCTGCAATAGCTTGCACTCGATTATTTTTGTCTCGATAATAATGAATGAGGCGCAATTTTGCATTTTAGACTTAATCGATGATTCAAATGCATATTTGATTTTTATAAAATTCAATTAATTTTGGTTTATCAAAGCGTTAATGTAGGTAACTGTGCCTTAAATTTCTCTGTTAAAACATGTGAAATTACGATTTTATATTAATTTTAATGTATTGATGAAATATGCTACAAAGCATTCGTTTAGAGTTCCCTGGTTAGGTAACATAAATAGCTAGGTATGTACTTACATACATGTTCCGTAGTTGCTTTTTTTACGCTTATTCTCTTATTTATTCGTATCGATATTATCGATATATAGCAGATAGTACATAGGTACAGTACGTATTTGCATACGTACGATACATAATCATATTTTGCAGCATTCCAAATCTTGCGCATCGAATATTGTTATGTAAAAGCGTGATCCAAGTTATGAGATTGGCATTAGATATGATTGGTTAAAATTTGAATAAATATATATATCAAAGAACTGGTTTTGTTAACAAACATTTCTCAATCTATCGCTATTTTTTTCTTTCATCTAGAGAAAAAAAAAAAAATGAAATCAACATTTTTACAAGAACTTTCAAATGATTTATTTGAATTGTTAGATAAAGCGGAAGATTATAACGTAATCATCCAAGCTGGAGATCCAACAAATCATAAAGAATTTAAAGCTCATTCTGTATTGCTTCGTGCTCGTTGTGGATATTTTAGATCAGCTTTATCAAATGATTGGCCAAGAAAATCTGGTGATATTATAGTATTCAGAAAACCAAATATTCCTTCTGGAATCTTTGAAATAATATTAAAGTATGTATTATTATAAAAAAACCTACTTATACGTATTACGCCAGATAATATGCATATATATTTGATTTTATCATTAATTCTAACTCAATATAATCAATAAATATTTATAGATATATATATAGCGGAATAATAGAATTGGATCAACTCGATGGTGCTGATTTATTACGATTAATGTTAGCTAGTGATGAATTACAACTTCCAATTTTAATCTCTCATGCTCAAGATCATTTAATCAAAACTCAAACTGAATGGATAAATCAAACTTTAGTACCAATTCTTCATATAGTATGTCATCATGGTACTTTTGGAAAACTTCGTGATTATACTTTAAAAACTGTTTGTGCTTCTCCACAAATTTTATTTGAATCTAAAGATTTTTTAAATCTTGAAGAATCTGTATTACTTTATTTATTAAAAAGAGATGATTTAATTTGGGATGAAATTAAAATTTGGGATCATGTAATTAAATGGGGAATTGCTAATACTCCTCAATCAAAATTACATGATAATGTATCAAGTTGGTCTGATAAAGATTTTGAAGATTTAGAATTTACTTTACATAGATGTATTCCTTTAATTAGATTTGCTCTTATTTCTTCTAATGATTTCTTTCATAAAATTCGTAAACCATTTAGAAAATTACTTCCTTCTTTAGTTGAAGAACAAGTTCTTCAATTTTATTTAGATCCTGAAAGTAGAATACATAATGTATTTTTACCTAGAAATATTTCTTCTGAACCAATTGATTCTGTTCTTATTGATGGTCGTCATGCTACTTTGATTTCAAATTGGATTGATAGAAAAGATAAAAAATTAAATCTTAAGAGAAAAAATCCTTATAAATTTAATCTTTTGGTTAGAGCTAGTAGAGATGGTTTTGGTGTCGACGTTTTTCACAACCGATGTGATTCTGTGGCTCGTACTTTGGTGTTGGCTAAGGTTAAAGATTCTAGTCAAATTGTTGGTGGATATAATCCGATTAAATGGAATTTTTCGAATTTTTCGGAGAATTCTCATGGTGCATCTGTTGGTACTCATAGGTCTTTCAAGAAGTTTGGCTCGACTTTGGATTCATTTATATTTTCATTTAACGATACACATAATCCGACAATGGCAACTTTATCAAGAATAAACGAATCATTGGATGAAGAAGCTATTTATTTTTCGCATAGTTATGGCCCATGCTTTGGTCAAAACGATTTGCATATGGTAGATCAAAGTTGGAATTGTCGAAAGACAAGTTATAGTAATGAAATTTTGACAGGTAAATCGAATTTTATTGCTGATGATTATGAGGTATTTCAGATTGTAGAAAACGATGGATTAAAAGAGAAAAAAACAGAGGTTCTAGAGGAACGTAAGATGTTTATTCATAGTTTTGATGGGTATATTAGATGATTTTATTTTACATTGTAAAAAGACTTGACAAAATATTAGATAAAATAAATTTTAGCTAGATAGTAAATATTTTGAATATAAATATTTTCTGAATTATCTATCAGTTAGTCAGAATACACTCATGTATTGAATTGGTTCAAGGTAATGCATGGAAATTGGGCAACGTATTAATTACTTGCATGATACTGTATTTCTTGAAAACGCGTAAAAATACCTGCTTATTATCGTTATATGCTATTATTTTGATAAATCACATAATAGTCAGGTACAGTACAAGTTTATGTTTGCTTTGAAAAAAAAAGCCGTTTAAAACTTTATTAACTTCATATATTTGCATTGAACATCTAATTGTAACATGTAATAATGCAATAACCAAATTAATATATTTGATATCAATTTAAATTAGAGCCACGAATTAGTTCGGCCCATATAACCTAGAAGTTGATTCGGTTTGACTAATGTAAGCCCAACCGACTATATAGTTTATATCCATAGTTATTCATCTTTGGATTTCTTTGATGGTTTTTCAGTCTCGGCTTCGGCTTTACGTTTTAACCCGAATGTTACCTTAAAATAATTTATATAATTTCAGTGTCTTATTCAACTACGTAAAATGTATGAAAATGCTAAAGAACTCTCACCTTCTCTCTCTCTGGTGCATTCATGCTTTGGCCTGTTAACCCTCCGTTAACTGTAATGATATTAGGACCATTGGCTGATAACACACTAGGAACTGATTTATTAGAGTTAGAGGCTCTGGTATCATTGTTTGGCATCATGCTATTTGGAACAACACTAAAGAATTTCGAAATTGGTTAAAAATCAATCGTTAACAGACATTTTATCTAAATAAATAAATACTCACGCTCTATTACCAACAGACAAAACAACATGTGCACTTCCGCTAGCTTTTTGTCTCTCTTGCAAAGCGGTCGCCATGTTCAACGGTGTGTCAACACTGCTCATCGCTTTTAATTTGCGTTCTTCTTCAAGTTTCTTTAGACGTTTCTCAGTTTTAGATTTTCCAGACGACTTTCCATGGAATTTATGAGATAATTGACGAAATGCCTACAAAAATAATGTTAAATAGGTAAAATAGATAAATTATATTTAGGTACCGTAAAATCTCGCAGTTACAGGCATCCGCACGTTATTTTGATCACCTGTGCGTTATTTCACCATCTCTCTGAGCTTGATTACTATTATATAAATCCACTGATATAAATATTGTATGAAGTGTGCGTTATTATAGAACGCCCATGGGCATTATTTTAAAATTAAATACACCAGTTTAAATAGTTTAAATGATTTGGTTTCGAAATAACGTACATGCCTGTTATTTCGAGATTACATAAAATAAATAATTACTAACCTCTTTAGGTGTTAATTGATTACCAAACTCATCAACATACTCCAAATTAATGTCTGGTTTATAATCTTTAAATCTTGCTTCCATTTCTCTAAGATGCTCACGATCGCGATAACTACTGTCATCATTTCGACCACCCCCTCCTCCACGGTAGCCCTTTTCTTTGGCTCTTTGCTTTTCACGTTCTCTTTCATTTTGCCTTTCAAGATCTCTTCTACGCTGTTCAGCAAGCCATTTTTGTCTTTCTCTTTGAACACGCTCTTTTTCAAGCTGTTCTTCAGTTGGCTTAATTGAGAATCCTGTACAAAAATGTGATCAATTATTATAACTTAAGGTTTATCATAGCATGTTAATAAATAAATCTATATTGCACCTTTTTGCTGTAAAAGAGCTAATGTTGCTGCCATTCCATTACTGACCAATGGTTCTTCTTCGACTACGCCGACCTTGAGAAATAAAAGTTGGTTATATCATCTTTGTAACAATCCATATATATATACTTATTTATATGTACATTTGAAACATGAAAATTTTGCATACCAATTTTGGTTCCTCATTAATGCTGGCCATGTCCTGGTCTTCAACTACGCCAGCTACTTTCCAGCCACCATTTTCGTCTTCTTCAGTAGCCTCATCCATTTTCACGTCGTTAGTTTCTTCTTCTCCTTCTTCTTCTTCTTCTTCTTCAGGCTTTTCATCTTCAATTTGATTAGTGAGTCGATTATCAGATGTTAGATTATCACTTTCTATAAGTCTTGATGCTGATGATGCTACTGACAGAGATCGAACAAATTCTGATGTATCTGAAATCACCAATCCACTATCAGGCACATCATCGTCTTCCTCCTGTGTTTCTCGTTCTTGTGTTACTGTGAGATAATAATAGGTACATTTTAAATAAATAAATATATAAATAATTAATTAATTAATTACTGAAATATTTAAAGAAATACATACAATTTCTTGCAATTTCTTCCACTGAAGCTTTCGCTACTTTTTTGGCAGCCATTTTTCTTGCTCTGGCTAGAGCTTGTTGGAGTTCATCATCATCAACAAAACTCACGTCATCCAGATTTTCTCGCCTTCTACTCTGTGTGGTCGTAAGAGATGATGTTGAATCTATTTCCATTGAGTTAGGATCATTGACTTGATTTTCAGCTATCAATGAATCATTATCTACAGTCTTCTGTCGGACTTTTTTCTTCTTTTTGACCTAGTATGCGTGAACCTGTTGGTTAATTTGGTTAATAAAAAATGTGACATTTATTATAATAAACCATTACAATTATATACACACTTTAGGTTTCTTAAAAGTGATTTCTGCTTCTTCTTTGGTGTAATAATCCTGAATCTCTTTCATTTCTATATAGTAATAAAATGAATTAATACCTTAGATTTATAAACTTAATATATCAAAAAAAAAATTTTAATTTAAAATGATGAAACATACTGTCAAAAGATAGAGAAATAGGATTTGACCTTAGTTTTTCAGACACTTGGTTTCGTAAATCATCTTCACCCAATTTAACTGTGCCGTCACCGTCTAGCATAAATCCCTAAAAAAATATATATATTTATAAAATGAACTCCTAGAAAACTATCAAATTGACAAAGCCTTCAATTGCAATGGACATAAACGAATAAATACAGTTCTTTTATCTTTCTCTATTTCTTCATCGTAATGTGACAAAATGCTCTTTTTAGTTACACCACCCCCCAAAATTAAACTCTTCATCGTCATAGCCAGTATAAACTGGTTTCTTTTTTTTGTTTTCTAAGTTCTTTTTGAGTCTTTGTTGCTCCTCTAGCTGTATTGAAACCAATTGATCTCCTTCCTCTGTTAAGTTTTTTTTTTTTTAGTTTCGCATTTTCAATTTATCAAAATAAAATAAAATAAGAGTGATTCATACCTTCATTTTCAAGTATAGAAGAATCTTTTAAAACTAAAATACGTTCTTCTCCATCTTGAAACTCTGATATGTCGTGAACTACTTGCATCGTTGAAATGAATGTTCCTGATTAACCTTTGTTTCGTGTTCTCTATTTTGTTCTTATTGGTTGATCGGCAAAATTCGGATTGGCCAAACTACTGAATTTTGCGATATTTATGACCATATTCTAGAAGATTCTCTGTCACATGATCATAAGGAAAACTTTTAACGGTAAAGGCTGACAGTACAATAGATGATTTAATTCGAAGCAACCAATAGCCAGTCTCACATGACAAATAATCGAATAAAAAAAAATTATAATTATAATTATTTATTAGAGTATTAAAAATCAAGAATCCGCCTAAGGTTTAACGCGTAATAAATACATTTCTGGAGACTATACCCTAAACATTCTCTGTTTCTGACTATATACCCGAGTATAATGTCTAATTTCTGCGCCAAAAATAACCAAATGGCAAGTTTTATAATACTAATATCTCATGATTCATTAATCAATTTTGATATAATTGATTCATCACTGTGAGACGTATTGAACGATACTAGGATAATTGATTCTGATGGTCACATCCACTCAATGATACTTCAATTCGCTATTTAGTGTCTCCCTTCGCCCCAGACGTTGATAAATTTTACTTTTATTTTATCTTCTTTTCATCTCTTTCATCTGTAATCTTTCTAAAATCAACAATCACCTCACCAACAAATAATTCACTCAATAAAAACAATAATATCATAAATAATGAAAAGAGTGAACTAATGACAAAGTGACTTATAGTAGTTCCAATTTCCAACCAACTTCCATAATCTCTAACCAAGTAAAAAAAGTTCAATGTCATAATATCTGACGTTGAAAGAACTAATAAAAATAAACTGAATGGTGGTAAATTTAACGATTTGTTAATAACCCCGAATACTGAAGAAATGATAAAAAACGGGATTAATATTTTAAATATTAATAACGCACCCATTAAAAATGGGTTAAAGACAGTGGTTAATCTATATACACTTTGCAAAGAAAAACTACTTAAACTTGCAATATTTCCTGTACCAAAAAATGCTACCTTAATGAAAAACAAAAATACTAGAGCTATTCGAATATCTTCAATCTCTAATTTACGAGTTTGCCCTTTGTGGGATAAAGTTAGCGTAGGATGTGAAGTAATAAATAATAAATATTCGATTTGATGCCATATCATCAACGTTATTGTTAAGAAATAGTAGAACAATACTTCATAAGAAATACTCAGTATTACGAATAATGGAGCAAATGAAAGTGATATAGTGGTCAAACGTTGAAAATAATGTTGTTTTCCAAGTCCATAAACAAATGGCGTTGCAGTTGAAATAACTACATAAAGATAATATAGATGAATAGACTATTGAATTTTAAAGAATCACAGAGTTAACTTACCTAAAATTATCCACGCAATAATTTGATTTAAGAAAGGTAGTCCAGCTTTATCTTTTAATTTACTGGTAGTATCATATACAACTATTATACTTAACACAACCAATCCAACCTATACGATTTGCTTGTTAGATATATATTTAATTATTGTAGCTGAAGTGAAATTGGCTGAAGCTGAAATTTGGACCTATTTTATTTATAAAAATTCCACTTTTTTTAGGAACACACTTTTTAATCTTTTTTTGGGGTAATTTAGGATATACAGTAGAGTTAGAATTATATAAGTAGATTTTAGTAGGTTTGTAAATTTAAATAGGATTTTAATAGGATCTCAGATTTCAGCATCAGACAACTTCGGCATCAGCTGCCACGTTAAATTCAATTCACATAATTTTAAGATATATACATATTTAAATTCATCTCACCTGAAATCCAATCATATTTCTTACACTGGTATGTGATCTAATCGTAAATTTAGAGCTTTTCCACAGAGCAATGCATCCTGTAATAACGATCAATAATCCACCAAGAACCCTAAATAACAAATAAATATTATTAAAAAATGTTTAAAACATAAATTAATAAATGATAGCAATAAATGATAGTAATATACATACACTAATGTAATGTCCTCTCCTTTTTCTACTGGTAACAATGTGAAAATACTAGTAAATAGGCATGAAATTGTCCATGCGAAAAACCATATTGAATTCCCATTCCGTATTTTTGATGAAATAAACCATGGGCATAATGCTGCTAGTATAAAACAAACACTTAATATACTACGTTCAAAATAGCTATAAACCTGTATGCAAAAAAAGTTAATATTTTCACACTACACTTTAATAAACCATATTAACGGTGGATATAAGACTTGCCAAAATTTCTAATCCTATAATATATCCAATAATGTATATTATTAATGTGAAGATGCTCTGATTATCCAATGCAAATCTACAGCAATCTAAAATTATATTGCGCTCTTTTATGACATCTCTCCAAAAATATATAGGAAATATTACATAGAAGTAATATGTTATAGGCGATTCTTCAACATAAAGAATGCAAATCAGCAGCGCTAGGGAAATTACAGAAATAATATTGATCTAATAGTCAAAAAAGTAAGTAAGGAAATCTCGAATTTATATAAAAAATAAAATAAAATAGAATAACATACTAGCAAACTATATGGATCATTGCTTGCTACAATGGATTGTGTGCTGTCATTAAACGCATATTCTTTGAGCGTAAATTTCAAGCTATATGCAATCCATCCAACATATCCAACCGTAACTATAGACCTTAGCATGAACCAATCATATCTGGAAATTAAACATATTGAAATATATTTATTATAATAGTCTAAGTCAAGCAGTTTAGTTTTTTAAAAAAAAAAATCACACACGTTTGGAAATATCTCAATCCTTCCAAACACAGGCTAATTAATATTCTACACAAAGTTTCTGCTTCTGCATATTTTTCGGCATCGATAAGGCGCTGAATATCGTTTATAAAAACATCAGGAGAATGTGTAGAATTGCTCAGAGGAGCAAATGATTTGAACATTAGTTTTGTACGTTTTTTTGATTCTAAAGAAAATCAATAAATTAACAAAAGAAAAATTTTAACAATAAGAAACAAACAAATTTGAAGATAAACTAACAGAGCCACTAGCTAACCGTATTTAACTTGGTATTGCTCCAAAATTTCTTTAGCATTTACAAAAGCACTCTGAACTTTGAACAATAGAGTGTTATTAAGATATTTCAAAGGTAATTCACCAACAGAATTTACAGGATAATTGATCCCAATTAAAGAAGCCTTTAAAATTATGATATACATTAGATTTTAATACTATAAAATCATAACAGCTTTGATAAATAAGTGACTTATATTAGATATTACCATTAAAGGTGCAATATCAGCTTGAAGTATATCATTACGTCGAACACTATTAAGTTGCCAATCCATTGAAAATTCATCATGACCAGTCGGATGATCCTTGTTGGGTTTATTAATACCCGCACCCCAAGCCACTATTGGAGTACGTGTATTATCCGGATGTCCATCACCGTGGTTACCTGATTATAATGTAACTTAGAACCAAATAATCAACTAATTTAATATTATAGTTCTTCTAATATAATTTGTTTACCTCTATTGCTCATTCCATGATCAGAAGTAAAAATATAAGCAGTTTTCATATCGTTTCCGTAAAATTCATCAAGTAATTGTATAGTTTTGTAAATTCCATCATCAACAACTTTAATATTATCCAAATACTCTTTAGAATGAGGACCATAAGCATGACCATTTGTATCCAATCCAAGCAAATGCAAAAATATAATAATTTTATCATCATGTAGTTGTTGATAAAGTTTGAGATCAGATGATGAATTTGAAATAAGTTGGGCAAATTTATTGAATGTCCACGTGTCCAATTCAGCAGCATCTAAATAAGAAATACATATATTAATATATATATGATAAAAATATGAAATTGAGAAGCTACCTTCGGCAAAGTTTTCGCTTTCATGTCCATACATAAAAGTGTCAACTCTTTCTGGATCTGAGGCACCTTCAGCAAACATAGGCAATATATCCGGTGAACCAAATGACCATGTATGTCTACTTTGATTAAATACAGAATCAAACTCTACAGGATTCATTTTCCAACCTATGCAAAAAATAAATGAATAATCAAATAAAATTACAAATTAATTTATCACAATGATTATTTGATACAGTTATCAAACCTTTCGTAACGGCACTAACATCTTCATAAAATCCTGCAATTATTGCAACATGACCTGGTCTTGATTCTGTAGGTACCCTCGTATGAGAAACCCCCCATGTTCCATGATTAAGCACTATATCCCTTAAAAAAGGAGCTCTTGTATATAGACTACTGTTGTTCTCATCTTGATATAATTGATATAATTTATCCGCTCTTAAACCATCACCTATACAGAATTAATTAGTAGTTAGAGACAATAATATTAAATTTCGTGTAAATGGGAGAGAAAAATTAATTATAGAAGCTTACCAACAAAGAGCACAAGTCTTCGTGCGGGTGGTGGTAAATCAACCTAATCCGAAAACTGTAAATAACTTTAATTTTAGAAGTAAAAGGCGAGTTATAGGTTTTTTACCTTGTGTGGGGTCATACCATGTACCAAAGGTGACGTAAAGTATATGTCGAAAATACTCCATATATACGTCACATGAAACAAAAGTCCAATAAACAAAAGTAAGTTCCTTGTTCCTTTTGCCATAAATTATGTTCTTAGATTCTTGAAAAAAAAAATCATTGGAACGATTATAGCGTTGATGATCCTGATGACGATCCATGATCAAAATTTGGAAACGTCAAGGGAAATCTCCGATTTAAGTTTACACGATTGGATTTGGACAAATCGGGATTATCCTGAAAAATCCCGAATCCCATCTCAGAAAATATTGGAAGCACAATATTTGTACTATATATTCAACAAAAATACAGTTTATTTTAAATATATATGTTGTGTCCTGCCAATTGACCAAAATTATCAGCCTAAACAAATTAATTTAGCAGGGCGTTTAGCTAAATTTTAGTTAATTGACATCTGGGCCGTCCCAATTGACAATTGGGACAACTTTAGATTTGGGGTTCAACATATACATAGCGATAGATATTAAACATCTCTTTATACACTAAAGTTCACGAATAAATAACTGATTATTAAATTGTTGAGCCTAAGAAAAAGAGATCACAAAAATTAATTTGAACAAACAAAATCAAGGTCATAAGACTAAGAATTCAACTGACTTAGTACCTTAAAAAATTAGGTTGACCCTTACTGGAATCGAACCAACGAGATCAAAATTTTATCATAAGATTAAGAATCCAACTCTTAAAAAAAGGATAATGACCCTTGCTGGAATCAAACCAGCGATATCAAATTATCATAAGGCTAAGATCCAACTAACTTAGGGCCTTAAAAAATAAAGTTTTTACATGATGCCAGAATCATAAAACACCAAGTTTTTTACATGATGTCAGAATCCAACTATAGTGCCAAAATCTTAAACCTTGAGGAGTCGGGATAGACGGTACGAAGCTTAAAGTTGTCGTACCCACATTCAGGTGTAAGAGATCAACTCCTTGTAGCACGAGAACCGCGTTGAAAAAAAAAAAAAGAAGTATATTAAATAGAAATAGACCTACATTTTTATAATTATTTTTCAATTCTTTGCAAACCTTTTTTACTACAACGAAAGGCACATAACTAACTCACTATTTCTTCATACCAAAAAATGCTATGATTCTCAAAGTTTTACTAATTGATTCTAAATTTATGCTCTAAGTAAACTTGTCAGAATTAGTAGACCTTATGCAGGAGAAAAAACTCAATCTTGCAAATAACTTGATGAGCCTGTGCCTTTCTAATCTAGTTTAACAACTACAGAACTAGATCAAGATACCACCAGCTATTACTTACCGTATTCCGTTGCAAGCAGGCAAGCATCAATCAGAACCCTAAAAAATGTCTTGACTCATTTTTAATTTATTTTTCAAATTCGAAATTCACAGTGAAATACTAACGATATACTTACAATATTTAACAGATAAACAAAAACGAAGAAATCAGTTCAAGAAAAAAATCAAATATCTGATATTTATACGTAAATCTACCACTACACGTAAAGTGCGAGCTTATCTGTTACCTATGATCACTGTAGGGATGCTAAGTGGTTCGTTCAGTCCAGTTCTGGTTCAGTCCCAAGGAGTTCAAGAAAAAAATGAACTGAACTGAAGTTCATGAACATTAGTTTAACTTTAAAGTTCAAGCTTGAGTTTGAACTTGAGTTCATAAACTCGAAGCATAAACTTCAGGTTAGATTTAAATTCAAACTCGAGTTTATGAACTAAGTTCATTAATGTATTTTCGTTAAGTAGCTTATTATAAATGCATTGCTGATAATCTTTAAGATAGCGATTAAAT